AATAGTGATTCAAATAATCCAGATTTTTTGCTTGAAGAAGGACAGTCGGAGGATGTGGAAGTCCGACGTATCGATTTATTTCCGGCGTTTTTTCACACGTTTTGGTCCGCGGGTTCTCGCTGCGCGATCTTGATAGAGCAAATTCGTTTTTGATGTGTTATTAACAAGGTGCTGTAACAAAGTTTTGATGTAGCTGATCAAACTAATTAGAAGTTTTGGCAATGGTCGGATGTGAAGTTAAACGTGCACTTTATCGGAGTAATGAAATCGACTGTTTCGTTAAGTGAATTGAGTTTTTTGAAGATGTGTAAGAACAAATGTCGATATTTCATTGAACATCGACGCATTCTTGCTATAAATGTATTAGTCTTTTGTTCGGTATCTGCACTTTCTTTGGGAGCTTTCGTGTCACAGTGCAACACAAAAAAGAGTTTCAATTAATTTTCCTGGCGATATTCAAGATTAAATACCTAAAGAAAGAACATTCTTGTACAACACAATAAATTCTTCATTTTTCAGTAACTAGATCATGATTCATAAAACTTTTTAGCAGAAGTATGTCGTTTTTTTAATTTTGAAATTTTAATATAATATTTACAAAAAATACGAATTGGTCATACTCACGTTACTTAAGCTCTCATATTTCAAGTACTGCACTATTTATGGGTCTTTTTGTACTTCTAAAATTCGTTACGAAGTTATATAAAATTTTATGTCTTCATGTTCTAAAAGTAGGTGAAATAAGTTTATGTTCAGTATTTTCGCTAAAGTAGTTTCCTGTAGAAAATTGCCAAAATAGTGATATTTATACTAAACTACAAGCTGTAAAATAAAAAAATATATATAATAATAATTATCATTATTATTTATTGAGGGGAAAGCCCTTTTTACAAAATATAAACCTGTATATCATAATACAAAAATAATACAAAATAAAATAAGTACAAAATAATTAAATAACCAAGTATAAAATAAAATATGTATAAAAATTTTAAATATCAAAAACAATAAATTAGCTCCCAGATTGTTAGCACTGGCCATAATTCTGTTAGTTGTCGATATTGGAAGCCTAAAGATTGATGTGCAACATGTGATTCTGCTCCCAGATGGAGGTACAAAAAAAGACAACTTTCCTAATAGATACGTATTTTCGATATAACAGTTGATGAGTCCATGTAGAAAACAAATATCAGATAATTTACGTTGATTTTCCAAGGAAATCAAATTCAGATTATTCATAATCCAAGTATATGCACCTTTTTGATGAGTTTAGCCCAACTTATATTTCATCAAACGTGTTTTTTTCTGGACCCTTTCTAAAAATTCAGAATCACTTTTATGAAAGGGAAACCATAATGGTGAGCAGTAATTAAAATGTGAGCGAACAAAAGAAAAATACAATGTCTTCACATTAAAAAAGAAGAGTCAATTTATTTTTTTGATTAAATCGGGGACGGTCTATCCGTTGTCCTGAAATTTGTCTGATAAAAATCGATTAATTCTAGAAATTACAGAAATTCTAAAATTCTGACCGAATTTGTGGAAAGATTCCAAATGTTCTGAATGTCCCAAATATTCTAACCCTTTCAAAGGTTTTAAGGCTTTCAAAGATGCCAAAAACTCTAAGGACAATAAGGATTTCAGGAATTTAAAAAAATTAAAAAAAGCTAGAGAAGCTGGCATTTTAAAAATTCTAAAGGTATTTCAGGAATTCCAAAAATTCCGAAGATTCCACAGATTCCAAATATTTAAAAATTGGAATGATGATAAAAATCCTAAAGATCTAAAAATATTTAAAATTCTAGAGATACTGAAATATCTAAAAATAATGAAAATCTGAAAGCTCTAAAAATTATAGAAATTCTAGTGATTCTAGATTCTAGAGATTCTAAAGATTCCAAAGTCGTTTGAAAGATTCAAAAAGTATAAAAGCTTTCACGGATTACATACACTAGAGACTGCGAATTGTAAAAACACTTAAGATTCTAAATAAAGTAAAGTTCTAATGTTCGAAATATAAAAAAGATCCAACAAAATCTTAAAAATTTTTAAAAACCTGGGGGTACTAATGATCCTAGAAATTGCAGAAATTTTAGGCTTTATAAAACTCCTAGTAATTCCCAAAGGTTCAAAATTTCCATAGATTGGAAAGGCTCTAAAAGGGTCAAAAGTTTCTAAGGACTCTAAGGGGTGAAAAGCTAAAATTCTGTTTCGAATACTTGAAACATTCTAAAGGTTTTAGAGAAATCTCAAAATACCAAAGATTTTAAAAATTCCAAAGACTTTAAAGAAAACAAAAATCTTAAAGAGCTAAAAATCGTAAAGATCGCAAAAATGCTTTCTTTAATTGTTATAAATCCTAAAAGCACTAAAGGCCTTGAACACCCTAATTATTATTTTATACATCTTGGAGACTGTAAAGATTCCAAAAATTCCAAAAATTCCAAAGATTTAGACTCTTGAGATCTATAAATTTTAGAAAATCTGAAAAAATAAAGAAAGTGTGGGAAAAATGTGGTTGACCTAGAAATCTTGAAAATATTGGAAAAGATTGAATTTCAAAATTCTGGTATAAATGGAGCCTGATAATTTTCGAAATTTTGAAAAATGTAGAAATTCTGGTCATTTTGTGCACTTCGGAAAATTTGAAAAACTGGGCTAATTTGGAATATCTAGAAATTTCAAAAATTTTGCAAATTACGAAAATTCCCAAAAATTAAAAGAAAATACAAAAATATTGAACCTCAAAATTTCAAAAGTTTATACAATCTTAAGATTGTAGATATTGTAAAAATTTCAAAAATTCTAAAAATCTTAAAGTTTTCATACACTAGAATAATAGTAAGGGCACCAAAAACGCTAAATAAACTAAAGTTTTAGGTTCTAAATAGAAGAAACATCCAACAAAATCTTATAAATTGTAAAGATCTTGGAAGTATCAATGTTCCTAGAAATTATAAAAATTCTAAACCTTATAAAATTTCTGGTAATTCTGAAGTATCCAAAATTCCCAAAGACTGTTAAGACTCTAAGGATTCTGAAAACTCTAAAGATTCTAAATACTCTAAGGACTCAAACGTTAAAAAGGTTTTTAAAATTCTGTTCCAAATATTTCAAAGATTCTATAATTTATTTTTGCATGAACTCTTACCATGACAAAAATTTTAAAGACTCCAAACAAAACAAAAATGCTAAAAATCTAAAAATCGTAAAAATCTGAATAATGCTTCCTTTAATTTTTATCAATCCTACAAGTATTAGGGGTCTTAAACACCCTCTAATGCATCGCAGAGATTCTAAAGATTCCAGAGATTCCAAAAATTTCAAAGATTTAGACTCTTCAGATCTAGAAATATTAGAAAATTTGAAAAAACTTAGAAACTGTGAGAAAAATATGGTAGACCTAGAGATTTTGAAAACATTAGAAAACGTTGAATTTCAAAAATTCTGATATAACTGGAGCCGGATAATTTTAGAAATTTTGAAAAATGTGGAAATTCTAGTCATTTTGTATACTTCGAAAAATCTGAAAAATGGAGTGAGCCGTTCCTGACGTAATCAATAAAATAAATTGAACATCCATTAATTTTTTTGAGTCACCTGTACAAGCAAATCTAAAAAATATGAATGCAATGATAAGTCACACGTCAAAACTCATGATATTTTGCACATTCCGGGTAGATTTAGGAATTTAACTCGTTACTATGGAAATTTGCAATTTAACACCTTTAAATTTCACACGTTTTTACAAGATTAAGTTGTTAAAAATGTTATTTTTATAAATCTTTGAAATATTTGCTTTTTTAAATCACTATACCTTTAAAAACAGGGTAAAATCCTTAAAAAAGTGTTGTGTGCTGAAAAGCTTTACTCGTAGTAACATATTTAAAATTTTATCTTGTCAAATTGAAATTTTGAACACCAACTCCATAGCTGCTATAGTCCTCCTTGGTTTTTGGGCGGACTATGTCAAAATTAATAATTGTGAGCTAACTTTCTAACGTTGGTGCCAATAATTCAGCATTGTCAACCCAAAATTTGCGTAAATCATTAACAGTCATCCGGTGTTTAGATCCCTCAAATTTTGTAATTCGTACAACTTCTAAATTATTTTTCAAATACAGAATACAAAATTGAATTTAAAAATTTGTAGTATTGTAGAATTATCACAGAAGTAAATTTAGAAAATTTTGAATAATTTTCTACAAAAAACAACTACAGTAGATCATCTTAAATTTTCAGTATTATGAGTTATATTTTGACATTTTAGTCAAGTAGCTACTTAAAATGCAAAAATAAAACTACTGCACCCAAAAGAGGGACATTTCGACGTGCACGAACCCTCCGCTGAACATTTCAATCCGTGTTAAATAAACCGTGAATATTTGGTTGCCTATGCTTCAGCCGAACTGCACCAACACGAAACAAGCACAGATTTATTATTTACAGCCTCCACAAAATTAAATGGAAAAAAAAACGTAAATTACGTTCTACCTCGAATAAAGTAACTTTTATTCCTTTTTTACTTGCCTGAAATTTACATAAATAACAAGAGTAATTAATCGTGACGTAACAGGACATTTGGAAAATTTATTGATAAGTTTAACCCATTATCAGCTGCGGCTATTTTTAAAAGCTCGAAATGGAGCGTGAGACATTCGTTTACCAGTTTTGCTGAAACATTACCTTTCTGTCGGTTTTGTTGGGAGATAAAATAATAGGATGATATTTTTCGCTAATATTTTCACATCAATTTCACCACAAAAGGTGATTCCTGACAAAAATCATTTTTAAAAATCGCAATTTTTCATCAACAACGCACGGAAAATGGGTCGTTTATTCTATTATTCCTCATTTGGAACATCGATCACAGATGTTACCCCAGAGAAACACATTAAAAAGTTATTTAAAAAAAAGTCAGAAATGGACGTAAGGATGTCAAAAATATTGAAGCAATTATGGAAAAAATGAAAATGTTAACTATTCTGTTTTAATTGCAGCCCCGGTTATCGTGATCATAACGCATACTGGATCGGCGCCTCCGACAAGATCGTCGAAAGCGACTTCCGTTGGTCCGACGGTCTTCCCTTTTCATACACAAGTGAGTATAATGAATCGAATCAACGAATAATTCAAGTTAACTAGAACGCTCCGTAAACAAATCGTATTCTAAGTATAATACTCGTACCCCACCCCGAAGACCTCGCCTCCGATACTTATTTAGTAAAATATGTTTTGTAGTTATATTTAACCTTCATCCTCTCTTCCCAAGCCAAAGTTATTTCTGAATGAACGCGCGCCTGTGTGAAAAGAAAAGTCGGAGCACTTGGATGATTTTTGATCATGAGGAAGTAAAGTAAATATTACCGAATTGTGGCAGATGCTCGAGTTATTTCTAGTACGAGAATATAAATACTTGGTGACGTATTTTTGTATACATTCTTCGGTTACCTCCCGCACATGTACTTATTAAGCAATATGTATTTCGGTTGGGGCTATGTTTAGATGGGTATTAATAGTGGAGGTGAGGGTTTTGGCTTTTTATGGTGAGGCGAACGATGTGCGAGTTTTTGTAGAAATAAGGGCGAAGATTTTATTGACTTAAAAAAAAAAGTACATTTGTATAACATAATGTTTACCAAAAACGTCTCAAAAATAAGAGGCAGGCTGTTACTATAAAGGGGTTTTATTTACCTGCCCAGTCACATGGTACATACAATAAATGATAACAAATGAAAAATAAGTGTAAAGATGTTATTAATAAAGTATATATTCAAAGATGTTCCTTATAAAGTCTGTCTGGCAGTACAACCACGGTCGCAACAATAATAAATCTGTAGATGTAATACAGTAACAACATATGGTAATAAATAAAAATGCAAAAGGCTTAGAAGCACTTGCGGTGGACAATTCCAGGGCCGGATTCGTCGTATTCCTGCTTGGAGATCCACATCTGTTGGAAGGTGGAGAGGGAAGCCAAGATGGACCCGCCGATCCAGACGGAGTATTTCCTTTCTGGGGGAGCGATGATCTTGATCTTGATGGTGGATGGGGCGAGGGCAGTGATTTCCTTTTGCATGCGGTCAGCAATACCAGGGTACATGGTGGTGCCTCCAGAGAGGACGGTGTTGGCGTACAAGTCCTTACGGATGTCGACGTCGCACTTCATGATGGAGTTGTAGACGGTCTCATGGATACCGCAAGATTCCATACCCAAGAAGGAAGGCTGGAAGAGAGCCTCAGGGCAGCGGAACCTCTCGTTGCCGATGGTGATGACCTGGCCATCAGGCAACTCGTAGCTCTTCTCCAAAGAGGTGGAGGCGGCCGCGGTGGCCATTTCCTGCTCGAAGTCCAAAGCGACATAGCAAAGTTTTTCCTTGATGTCACGGACAATTTCCCTTTCAGCTGTAGTGGTGAAGGAGTAGCCCCTCTCGGTCAAGATCTTCATGAGGTAGTCGGTCAAGTCGCGACCAGCCAAGTCCAAACGGAGGATGGCATGAGGGAGGGCATAACCTTCATAGATGGGTACGGTGTGGGTGACACCATCTCCAGAGTCCAAGACGATACCGGTGGTACGACCGGAAGCGTACAGGGAGAGCACGGCCTGGATGGCGACATACATAGCGGGGGTGTTGAAGGTCTCAAACATGATTTGGGTCATCTTCTCGCGATTGGCTTTGGGGTTCAAGGGGGCCTCAGTGAGCAAGACGGGGTGTTCTTCTGGGGCGACGCGGAGTTCATTGTAGAAGGTGTGATGCCAGATCTTCTCCATGTCATCCCAGTTGGTGATGATGCCGTGTTCAATGGGGTATTTCAAGGTGAGGATACCTCTTTTGCTCTGGGCCTCGTCTCCTACGTACGAGTCCTTTTGACCCATACCGACCATGACGCCCTGATGCCTGGGGCGGCCTACGATGGACGGGAAGACGGCACGGGGGGCGTCATCACCGGCGAAGCCGGCTTTGCACATACCGGAGCCATTGTCAACGACAAGAGCCGCAACATCGTCGTCACACATGTTGTTTGATGTGGTTGATCACTGCTCACTAGACAGAAAGGACACAGCTATGAAGCTAGTTACGATGCGACTGGGTGCTGGGGACTGAAGCAAACACTTTTATAGGGTACGCCGACAGCGGCGGGGTCCTCGGATTCTATTTTTTCTAAAGCGCTACCTCGCACATCTTACTATATTAGTTCCAACGGGCACGAAGCGGCTCTCTGTGTTTATTCGAGGGGCTAATCGATGGATAATTTCTAAGAGAAAATTAACCCTCGACAATTTAATGCACACTTTTTTTTATTTGTAAAAGCTTTCAGACGACCATTAAAATTCGATTGATTTTTGTCGATGCACCATTTCATTCCAGAGGTGTACCATAACCGACGGGGATTTAATTATAAAAATTACGGACAGATTTTTGGGTTTTTTTAGGTGAGCTAATTCACGTAGGGTCTCAAGTGACTTAAAAAAATACACCCACCTTTATTAACAAAAATTAAAATGTATTTAACAAAAATTGGAATTTAAATTGAAGCTTAAATCAATTTTTACTTCAAAAATTCATCAAACCTGTCACAGCTTTTGGAAAAAACTAAATTGCTCTTTAATATGGTATGGTATTTTCCATCAATTTTTCCATTATAAAACTTATTCATACATTAACAATAGAAAATTTTAAATAACTGAGATCGAATTTATAGCCTATATTTTATAAATAATGGAAATTTTACACTTTTAATAATGCACGAGAAGAGGATTGTTTATGATTCCGGTTTGAATATATTTGAAAAACATTTTTCACATATTCGGATGTAAATTAAACATATTCGAATATATTTGAAAAATATCTGTAGCCGTAAACAATTTTTTCTTGCAGTATTTTTCATACCAAGCTATAAAGTTACATTAGAAAGCGCTTCATTTAAGTGGTATTAAGGTAATAAAGAATTTCTTAGTCCTTCCAATTATCTGTTCTGAGAATAAAACACCTGTTGCATTACGTTAGTACAAATTAATGTTTTTTTTTAGATTTAAATCAATACCGAATGAAAAGAGTTATGGTCAATTTGTTGAAAGGGATTAAATTCAATTTGTGACATAAGAAAATCCTATAAAAACAGTATATATTTCAAAGATAAAAAACAACAAAAAAACTGATTTAATTTTTCTAATAAGAGAGGTGGAATGTTATCTTTTGTCGTTAGAAGTGAAACAAATTATTTAATTTAAATTTAAATTTAATTACCTGCAATATAAAATGTTTTTACAGAGCTTCTCCCAAGAGTATTGAAATAAAAATTGTTAAATTATCAAAAAGACATATTTCAATGATGTACTAAAAAAATTGTTACAAAAAAAATTATCTGAATTTTTATTTTAGTCTGCAAAGCAATTTTTTTCTCACAATATATTTGCATTTTTTGAACTAAAAAAAAATTCAAAATCTGAATAATGAAAGAGTGGTATGTCTGCAATATACTTTTTTCCGTTGCTTTTTTTTAAGGAGTGAATTTACTATTATTTTCCATTTGCAAATTGAATGCCGTTACTTTTCGATAATAATAAAAAAAAGTTATTTGAAGCGTCCCCTTTTAGCTGACGCACGCTGTACACTTATTTTGTGAACAATTAATAAACGATTTTCAATTATTCGACCAGGTGATTTATTTATTCTTAGTAATAATTAATTGCTATAATAATTTTAAATCACTGTTGTTGGTTTTTGGATTCGTCAACGGTTGTTATAAAAGCTAAGGTTGTTTTATTTACTGGGGCTACGTCTCGATTTCGGAAAATTACCTAGTCGTAAAACGAACTGCCATATTTTCTATTTTAAATATTAGTCACACGAAATAATAAAGCTTTTTTTAAAAAAATTATTCCATTTTATGTGTCAACACAAATCAAAAGTTGTAAACACATTAATTGGAGATCATTTATAGAAGTTCAATTAAACATTTGATATTGCAATTAAAATTTTAATGCGTCATTAAACTGTCACGTGACCAGTTCATCGCCAATCAAATGTTACCGATCGCCTCATTAAATGGGTCATTAATTTAGCTTCAATAAAAAAATTCTATAAACTAGCCCTCTTACTACCTTGTAAATCATACACAGTAAATAACATACATATTTAGGAATTTTTAAAATATGGACGAACGTATATACAAGTGAATTTTATTTATTCATTATTGCTTTTTTTCTATTTTTTTTAATTTATAGTCCTACAGTTCTAACACCGCTACGTAGAAAACATTTAGTAGATTACAGAAATTCTGGTGTTTAAAATTCATTATTTGTTTGAAATATCAAAATTTACTTTATTTTCTTTTTAATAATTCCAAATCGACCCGTAAAAAAATATAAATCCTCATCAGCAAAAAAAAAACAAATTTTGTTCTGGTTTAATTTATTTTACGGTTTCCGAGATTATGACACCAAAAACAAATTTGCTCCAACATAAAATTTGGAAAAAAATTGCATTTTTGCACATTTTATTATAATTATTATTTCGTAAGGTGGTTTTTACTGTCAGAGTCAATTCATCTTGCCAAAGTAGTACAAACTGATATCTAAAATCTGCACTATTTGCAACATTTATTATCAGTAAGGTAAAGAACTCTTCAGAGTCCTAAAATTCACGTACAAGTACATTAATTGAATTGTTGTTAATGTTTAAAAATTAACTATAGTTGATAGTGAACCTTCTATGACAATTTAGTTGCCCAAAATTTATAACAATTATTTTGTAGTGTTTTTTGACTGAAAATGTTGCTAAACAGTTTCCCAGATTTGTTGTAACGTGAATATTTACATTGACAGCGACATTTAGAGAAATTTGCAAAATCCGGGGTAAAAATTAAATAGATTTTATTAGTACCACAGTATACTAGACAGAAATGCGTGGAACGTATATAGGGATAACATTTTCTGGTTACGACCAAGAACCCACAAGACCAAATCCGCGCCCTCTCGTTGTCCAAATATGGCAAATTCGCATTTCGCGTCCCGTGGAAGAAAACCACGCCGCCGCCACTGGTTCAAGACGGTTCCCAAAATAACCCGTACCGTCCATGTATGGCTCGCCTCGTACA